CTCAATAGATCTTCAATTAGAGGGGTTATGTATGGGTTGAAACAAATAAGATTTTAATTAAACGTACAAATTCTTTTAGTTTGATGATGGAGGGTCACTTGAAATTTCGTAGATAGTCCCTATAAAAAAGAAAATAGATGAAAAGGTTTTCTTAAAAACCAAACTTTTATATAATTCAAATCATTTGTATTGTGTGTCTGTCTGTGTGCCCAACTGTGTGTGAGTTAGTATATAAGAGACAGGGCAGGAAATAAGTGTAAATGAAAGTATATATTTTCTGCTTTAATTAGGTCAGTAAATTTATCCTTTTGTCCGCAGCAGTATAAACCACTTCAATTCTTACAGAGGAGGGGAGGCATTATTTTATATAAAATACACATATACAGAGAGATGGGGTTTCAACGTTAAGCAACTTAAAATTTTGCATAAATTTGATAATTTACAAATTAAATTTTGCACAAATTAAACAGCAACGATTAAATATTGAAACAAATTGAACAGAAAGGATTAAATTTTGCACAAATTTAACAGCAAGGATTAAATATTCAACAAAATGAATGAAGAGGAAAGATTAAATATTGAACAAATTAAAGAGGTAGGATTAAATATTAAACAAAATGAAGAGGAAGGATTAAATATTGAGCAAAATGAAGAGGAAGGATTAAATATTGAACAAAATGAAGAGGAAGGATTAAATATTGAACAAAATGAAGAGGATGGATAAATATTGAACACATTAAATAGGAAGGATTAGATTTTGAACAAATTAAAGATTAAGGATTTAATGTTAAGCAAATTGAACAGAAAGGATTAAATATTGAAAGGTTAAAATATTGAACCAATTAAAGTATTGGAAGGATAAAATATTGAACAGAAAGGATTAAATATTGATTAAAGTATTGGAAGGATAAAATATTGAACAGAAAGGATTAAATATTGAAAGGTTAAAATATTGAACCAATTAAAGTATTGGAAGTATGAAATATTGAACAGAAAGGAATAAATATTGAAAGAATTGAACAGAAAGGATTAAATATTGAAAGAATTGAACAGAAAGGATTAAATTTTGCACAAATTTAACAGCAAGGATTAAATATTGAACAAAATGAAGAGGAAGGATTGAATATTGAACAAATTAAAGAGGAAGGATTAAATATTGAACAAATTAAAGAGGAAGGGCTAAATATTGAACAAATTAAAAAGGAAGGATTAAATATTGAACACATTAAAGAGGAAGAATTAAATATTGAACACATTAAACAGAAAAGATTAAATATTGAACACATTAAACAGAAAAGAAAAAATATTGAACACATTAAGCAGAAAAGATCAAATATTGAACACATTAAACAGAAAAGATAAAATATTGAGCAGATTAAAGAGGAAAGATTAAATTTTGCACAAATTTAACAGACAGAATTAAATATTGAAGATATTGAACAGGAAGAATAAAATATTAAAAGAATTAAATATTGAACAAGACTATGGAATGGATTACATATTGAAGGAACAAGAATCATTAAGCTTTTAATAAGTTTAACATATAAGATTATGGTTTATAACGCGCGATTTGTAAAAATTGCGACAGGTAATAAATATTGAAGAAATTGAACATGAGGGATTAACTTATTTGCACAAATCAACATTGCATAGGGGGGGTAGGTAGTAAGTAAGGAAAGACAAGGG